TCCTTAACTCCCCCCAACCAGAATACCTAGTAATGATTTGCCACCCCTGTAAAAAAATAATTCAATGGTTAAACATATGTGAAATTTGGGGTAACTTATTCCGCCCAAAATTGATATTTCATATTCTTGAAACGAAACTATTGTGCTCGAATTTGATGATGGCTGAAAATAGCCATCAGGTTTAAATATAAGTTCGAAATAATTTTCAAATTTTTAGCAGATCCATAAATCAGGCGAATTGTCCAAAAATATAGATTGTTTTGTCAAAAATTCGAGATACATTCGACTCATGTTATCTGTTGAGTCTGGTCCGGGCTAGAAAAACAGGACAAAGTTACAAGAAAAACAACATATTGACCACCCTCACATTCATTCAAATAGGCACGCCATTTCAGCCTCGTTGGAAATTGTTTAAAAAAAAACTAGCTAAATGATAGACCTAAACTACTGTTATTGCGGCTATTGTTTGTTCTTCGCTTTCATATTTTGGCTCCACATATTACAAAATTTGCGCGAACTAAGTAGAATGACCCGAAATTTTAGCAAGACTGCTCGTATCAGGGCGAAGCCCTGAAGGTTCCGACTGCCTTTTAAGGTTTATTGAGCAGCAGTAATACATAAAAAAAAATAAACGAAATAAATTAAAATGAAATTTTTTTTCTAAAATTTGAATTTTTTTAAATGAAAATCATCACCCCACACGCCATATAAAGTACAAAAAGATAGATTTCGCTCCTTGTAACAAATCAATTATGGTAAATAAGCTATAAGCTTCGTTCAACCAATTTGGAACGATTTATAAGACGGATTAAATCTCGCTTACTCGTTAATAGCGCGAATTATCTTGAGCGTTAATTGTCACAAATTGACCAAAATGGCAATCTTTAAACCCTCATAACTTTACAAAAAATGATCACAGTTGAAATATCTTTTCAAATTTAAGCTCAAGACAACAATACATTTTGAATGATAAAAAAAATTCCATCAAAAATGGCTAGTTAAAAAGTCAAAATTTGTCTGAAGAAAAAAAACCCAACCCGAGCACAAATTTTCCGTTACTTTCGTATCGAGAGTCGGAACAATTAGATTGGATTCATAAAAACTTCTCATACAAGTTTGACTAATATAAAATTTGCTCTAGGATAAGCTTTTTATTTGAACGCTTGAAAAATCTTGCTTTAGATAAACAGTTGATTGGCTTTGCAGAACCCTTTTTTATCCGACATTTTTGCAAATTTATAGAAATTTGATAACGGTTGATATGCCTTGATTTTAGCAACGTTATGTTGAACAGAGAAACTGGAGCTAGGGGCAGAATAAACCCTGACATGTTAGATAAGAGTTTTAAAAAAAATTTTTGTGAAGATCTCGACTGCTTCTTATAAAATAAAAACACCCAAAAAAAAACAATTTGTCTGTGTTTCGCTAAAATTCAATGAAATCATTTGTGGAAATTTTTTGAGCGCCACTCTTTAGACGACGCTTAGAATGTGACTGCATTCATTACTTAGAAGTTAATTTAGTCACACCTTATCACATCCATCTTTAAATTTGACGGAAATTTATTGAAAACTCTGATTGTTTCAGATCTCTTAAGCGTTCGTGAAGTTTTGCTACAAAATTAGTATGGGTAGGTCAAAATAGTTCCGAAGATGTTTTTCAAATTAAGTTTTGTTCAAAACGAAATTCGGCTACTCACTCACATCAACCGATCGGATTACAAAATTTTATTTTCTATTTAATAATTTGAGATTTGATAGATAAGTTGGGCAGAATAAATTTAAGGATCCAAGGAAGAATTTATGGGCGGAGGGGATGTCAGTTCTGAAAAAAACTTGACCTGCATGTCTGAATTAAATTTTAAAGGTTGGATTAAAAAATGATCACAGGTGAAACATCTTTTTAAATTTGATCTCACGACAACCATAATTTCCGCCTGATATAAAAAACACTCCGTCAAATATTGCTAGTTAAAAGGTCGAAACTTGTCTGGAAAAAAACCAGCTCGAGCTGAAAGATTCCGCCATTTTCTTCAAAATTCGGAACAAAAAAAATAGCAGCCAATCAGATTTGAGTATTTAAAAACCAGATAAAAGTGCAAATATCTCAAAGTAAGAATTGAACTTAGAGCTTTCGGATCTAATTAACAATCTCCCCCCTCCCTATGGCATCGACTAAACAATCTCCACCCCTATAAATAAATGCAGTAAATTAGCACTAGAGCTTGTATTGATAAATTGAATTTTTCTGCATTCTGATCGGTCGAAAAATCGACCATTTTGATCTACTTAACAATTTCCCTTGATTGTTAAAATCACCCGAACTTTCATTTAAATGTTTGGTCTGATTCATGATTCCCGGATGCGTGCGTACTTCGCCCACCAGCGGGAGCGAAATTAGATCTTCTTAACGATGGAGGGGGGCAATTGTATAGTAGATTAAGTTAGTTGAATTTTCGAATAATAAGCTTTTATTTGCTTCTATTTATACGGGCAGCAATTCTTTAGTAGATACCATAGGGGTGGCAATTTTTAAGTAGATCTGAGAACTTTATTGTAACTTTCAATTTTTGCCTATGGTAGTTTTCAATCAGCAAATATGAAATCTTGCAAACCAGCAGAAACTAATTTTCTTGAACTTCGTGTAATCACTGTATTCAAATATTTTACCCAAATATCTACTGAAGTATGTCCTCTTTTTTGTTGAAAGGAGAGAGATTATTATGGCAATCTGCAAATTGCAATTTTCCAACGCCCGGTTTTCTGAACAATTTCAACCGACTTGTCTTTTAATTTTTTTCTCAGGGCAGCGACATTTTTGATTTGATAAGAAAAAACTAATATTGTTGTTGGTAAATGTCCCAGCAGAAAAACAGATAACGAATTTTAAAAAAATATATACCATATACTTTTTTAAATAACCAACGCAGTTGGGACATACGCATTTCAACATCCCATTGCCCGTTTATTTGTGTTGATATTAGAGTGCGCTACGTTTCGAATCTTAAATAAGCAATTAGCATTTCCATTGTCTTTTTTTAAAAAATGGTTCATAAAAAGAAAAACGAAAAAAGCTCGTTAGGTAGGCTTATAAGCATGCAATGAATGCTTCAATCAGGCCGAAACTATTCAAGCCGAAACAACGAAGAGCCGAAACGAATCAAGCCGAAACGAATTCAGTCTTAAACTTTCATTAATTGAAAATTGTTTGATTTCTTAAAAAAATGAACGTTTCATTCTCGCATAATTATCTTCTCGGTGAATTGTGAAGTGCACGCTACTGACAATAGCAACATTGATCAAACCAATCTTGAAACAACGAGTGAGTCAACTGTGTTTTTGGGAAAGACAAGTTTTTTTTACAGTATCAGAGGTCAAGTTAAAACTCAATGAAAAAGAAAGAGATCTCTTTAACTACTCCACCCCTTTTGCAAAAGAGGGGAAATTCATTACTAGGTACAAACTTCGGGTCTTTTCTACTTATTCCGCCCAGATTTTGTAATTTGTGAAGCCAAACTATTAAAGCGAAGAACAAAACACTAGTCGTAATAACAGTTGTTTAGAACTATTAATTGGCTAGTTTTTTTAGACAATTTTCAACGAGGTTGAAATGGCGTGCCTATTTGAATGAATGTGAGGGTGGTCAATATGTTGTTTTTTCTCTTGTATCTAAGTCCTGTTTTTTTCAGCCCGGACCAGACTCAACAAGTAATTTGAGTCGAATGTAATTCGAATGTTTGACACGAACAATCTGTTTTTTCGGACAATTCGCCTGATTTTTGGGTCTGCGAAAATTTTTCGAATTGATATTTAAATCTGATGGCTATTAAATGAAATTTTTATCCTGGAGCAAACTATATGCTTATCAAATTTGTATGAGAATTTAATATCAACCTAATTTAATTAGAGTTTCTTTTGCTAGTTGTAGTTCGTCCTGCCGAGTTATACCAGAATAATCGAGGCAAAAGCTTAAATTGATCGAGAACAACAATCTTTTCGCAGTAAATGGCGTTTTTCTTAGTCAGTTATATAACTTCAAACACCTGTGCGACTGTGATATCAAATCTTTTGATGAAACAATGAAATCATTCTTTTTTTTTGGGTTGAAGTGTGTTTGATTTGAATGATAATTGTTCCGACCATTGAAAATTGGTTGTCTTTTAAATTTTTTGAAAAAAAACGTTTGGTACCACAAGTAATCATCGGACTGGGCCGGATGTATATCATATTAGTGTCATCTTAATCTTGATTTGAACGACATTAAAAAGTGTTACAATTAGTGTCCGTATGTGGAGAAAAACTGGTTCAAAACTTTTGAGTTTTAGTTAAACTTCGAGCGAGGGAAAGCGATCGAATAACTATTGTTTTAATTGAAAATTATCAATCCAAGCTAAAAGATATCTGATTGGCTGACCAGATTTTGCGCATTCTAATTTTTGTAAGCGTAAACTTGAACTATTTGTAATTTTGGGGGCGTCAAAATTACCGATGCACAAATATTTGTTTCAATCTAATATGAGCACAGCTAATTCAACCCAAACAAGTTTTTTTTTCGGATCAAGTTAACACCCTGTTCTCGCCCCCCGCACATATAGACCAAGTAAAGGTTTTCTACCCCGTATTAAATGAATTTGACTTACTTAGCACTGCGTGTAGAAGGATCTTTCCTGATTAGTATAAAGTTTGAACAAGGAGTTAAGTAAAAAGCCCTCAAACAGCTTGAAAAGTGGATGTTAAATTGGTCCAATTTATTAATTTCACAATAAATTCACTTCTGGTTTAAAAACATTGATTTTGTAAAAGGAAAAATTGAAAGTCTTATGTAAATTTTAAATTTGCTTTCATTATATCAAACTTTGTTTCTAAAATGGAAAATTTGAGAATTGAGACAACTTAAGGGTGTTCGGATGTTCAAGGTTTTGAGTCGAAAAAAAATTTCCGCAAATGATCTCATAGAATCTTAACGAAACACAGACAAGTTGGTTTTATTTTTGGTAATTTTATTTAATAAGAAGCAGTCGAGATCTTCGCAAGAATTTGTAATAGAGTTTTATCCAACAATTTGTTTACTCTGCACCTAGCTCCAATTTCTCTATTCAACATAACGTTGTTGAAAGCAAGGCATATCAACCGTTATCGAATTTCCGTAAATTTGTGAAAATATCGGATAATAAAGGGTTCTGCAATGTCAATCAACTGTTTATCTCAATCAACATTTTTTCAATTCTTTTAAATGAAATTCTTATCCTCGAGCAAAGTATGTGTTAGTCTATTTTTCATGAGAAGTTTTTATGAATCTAATCCAATGAGAATTTTTTTGCTAGTTGTATTTCGTCCTGCCGATTTTTACCAGATTCATCGAGGCAAAAGTTCGAACTGATTGAGACCAAAATTGAGTGATATGTTTAAAAATGTGGTAATTTTGAGCATCGTCCTGCCGAGTTATACCAGAATAATCGAGGCAAAAGCTTAAATTGATCGAGAACAACAATCTTTTCGCAGTAAATGGCGTTTTTCTTAGTCAGTTATATAACTTCAAACACCTGTGCGACTGTGATATCAAATCTTTTGATGAAACAATGAAATCATTCTTTTTTTTTGGGTTGAAGTGTGTTTGATTTGAATGATAATTGTTCCGACCATTGAAAATTGGTTGTCTTTTAAATTTTTTGAAAAAAAACGTTTGGTACCACAAGTAATCATCGGACTGGGCCGGATGTATAACATATTAGTGTCATCTTAATCTTGATTTGAACGACATTAAAAAGTGTTACAATTAGTGTCCGTATGTGGAGAAAAACTGGTTCAAAACTTTTGAGTTTTAGTTAAACTTCGAGCGAGGGAAAGCGATCGAATAACTATTGTTTTAATTGAAAATTATCAATCCAAGCTAAAAGATATCTGATTGGCTGACCAGATTTTGCGCATTCTAATTTTTGTAAGCGTAAACTTGAACTATTTGTAATTTTGGGGGCGTCAAAATTACCGATGCACAAATATTTGTTTCAATCTAATATGAGCACAGCTAATTCAACCCAAACAAGTTTTTTTTTCGGATCAAGTTAACACCCTGTTCTCGCCCCCCGCCCATATAGACCAAGTAAAGGTTTTCTACCCCGTATTAAATGAATTTGACTTACTTAGCACTGCGTGTAGAAGGATCTTTCCTGATTAGTATAAAGTTTGAACAAGGAGTTAAGTAAAAAGCCCTCAAACAGCTTGAAAAGTGGATGTTAAATTGGTCCAATTTATTAATTTCACAATAAATTCACTTCTGGTTTAAAAACATTGATTTTGTAAAAGGAAAAATTGAAAGTCTTATGTAAATTTTAAATTTGCTTTCATTATATCAAACTTTGTTTCTAAAATGGAAAATTTGAGAATTGAGACAACTTAAGGGTGTTCGGATGTTCAAGGTTTTGAGTCGAAAAAAAATTTCCGCAAATGATCTCATAGAATCTTAACGAAACACAGACAAGTTGGTTTTATTTTTGGTAATTTTATTTAATAAGAAGCAGTCGAGATCTTCGCAAGAATTTGTAATAGAGTTTTATCCAACAATTTGTTTACTCTGCACCTAGCTCCAATTTCTCTATTCAACATAACGTTGTTGAAAGCAAGGCATATCAACCGTTATCGAATTTCCGTAAATTTGTGAAAATATCGGATAATAAAGGGTTCTGCAATGTCAATCAACTGTTTATCTCAATCAACATTTTTTCAATTCTTTTAAATGAAATTCTTATCCTCGAGCAAAGTATGTGTTAGTCTATTTTTCATGAGAAGTTTTTATGAATCTAATCCAATGAGAATTTTTTTGCTAGTTGTATTTCGTCCTGCCGATTTTTACCAGATTCATCGAGGCAAAAGTTCGAACTGATTGAGACCAAAATTGAGTGATATGTTTAAAAATATGGTAATTTTGAGCATAGTGCTTGTACTAGAATTGAGAACTCGAATGAAAAATTTAGTCATTTCGTTTTCAATCAATTGAACTAACACTAACAAAGTTTTTTTAAATATTTTACTCTGCGAAATAGTGCTGCTCGAAAAATCACATTTTACACTACTTTTGTCCAAAAACTAGGCTTTTGAAATTATTTATGCCCGAAGTATAGCAAAAAGCGATCCAGCTATTGAACATGAACCTACTACCTATTGTAATATATCACCAAAAATTGCTTAATCTATCTTGGTGATAATGGAAACAAATTTTTGCAGTAAATGGCTTTTTTCTTAGCCAGTTAAGAAACTCTAACTCATCGGACTGAGTAGGGTGTAGGGTGTTATATCATATTAGTGCCATTTTAATCTTAATTTGAACGAAAATAAAAACTGTTCCAAACAGCGTCCCAATGTCGAGAAAAAAAATGTTTACAATTTTTGAGTTTTGAAAACGATCAAATAACTAACGTTTTATTTGAAAATTATCATTTTAAGCTATAAATATTGATTTTACTGAAGTAAATACAGGCTTGATAATATCCTTAGCGCTTTTTTTTGTCAAAAAATCAAAATTATATTAAAATTTTTTTGTTTATTTATTTTTGAAGACAATTGTGGAGGGTTCCGCCATATCCGTAAACTTTTGTTCGTGTCTGTACTTATATCATCACATGTTGCACAAGAAAAGATACAAACTTGAAGAAATTGAAGCAAAAAAGTTTCTGAGAATGTGGTTGAAATATTCTGAGCTACTTGCAGAGCAACCGGATATCCTTGATTTCGTTTGGATTTGGGTGTTTTCATTGTGGTGAAATCTTACAAACAGCATCAAAAAGGCCGAATCAGTTATTACCATACTGAAGTCGACAAAATGGTTGAAAATTTTTGCTAAATTTCGACTGAAGTTTATTTCAAGCGTCAACCGCCGATTGCCTTTAAGAAAGTAAAAGAGTAATATCTGGGTATTTTGGACTTACTTAAATTTAAAATAGCGAATTCTATTAAGCTCTAGCAAACAAAAAACCAGTAATTTTGCAATCAGTTTTTTAAGTTTTTTCAAACCTTGCGCTAGAAAAAAGTCAAACCTAACATGACTGTCACACCTTCCAAAAACTAAATAGTCATTATCAAAACCACAGTCATTACAAACATTATCAAAACAATTTTTATTTTTATTAGTGTTTTTTTTTCATTTGCTGTATTTCTTGTGGCCAGAAGCTTACACGATTTATTGTTAATTAGCAAATTTGTTGTTAGATGATTTTTTGTTGAATATACGGCTCATTAGTTTGACGTAAATATCGCACTGGTTAACTGCCTCTTGTTGCCAGAGCTCGATTCTCTGAGACAAGCGCATGTTTGTGCCGTATGAGGTATCAATAATTCGATACCAATTGCTCGGAGTAGTTGACAGCAGACAGGTAAGGCTCATTGGGAAGCCTTAAATGGAGTAATTTATTACCATACTGAAGTCGACAAAATGGTTGGAAGCTTTTTGCTAAATTACCACTGAAAATTATTGCAAGCGTCAACCGCCGATTGCCTTTAAGAAAGAAAAAGTTAAAATCTGGGTATTTACTTTTAAAATTAAAAATAGCTAATTCTCTTAAGCTCTACTAAAATCAGACCAGTAATTTTGCTATAAAGTTTTTAAACTTTTTCAAGCCTTGCGCTAGAAAAAAGTCAAACCTAACATGACTATGTCACACCTCCCAAAAACTAAATAGTCATTATCAAAACCACAGTCATTATAGTCATTATCAAAACATTTTTTAACTTTATTAATGTTTTTTCATGTGTTGTGTTTCTTGTGGCCAGAAGCTTACACAAATTTTTGTTAGTTAGAAAGTTTTTTGTTAGATGATTTTTCGTTGAATATACGGCTGATTAGTATGACGTAAAAATTGCACTGGTTAACTGCCTCCTGTGGCCAGAGCTCGCTTCTCTGGGACAATCGTATGTTTGTGCCATATGAGGTATCAATAATTTGGTATCAATTGCTCGGATTAATTGACAATAGACAGGGAAGGCTCCTTGGGAAGCCTTAAATGGTTTATGCCACCTTGAGGTGTAACTAATGCAACAGCTAAGGTTATGTGAGCTTTAACCCTGGTAACGATGATACCCCCATTTGCTAAAACGAAGTTAAAAAGTTAAAGAGATCCCAAATAATATCTTAAGGTATCGACTCAAACTAAGAATGGAAGCAGTTAATTTTCATCATGACAAAAAAATTTGTAAATTTTTTTGCTTAACGTTTGCTTTCAATTGACAGAGTTAGGTTTTCAAAAGCGGCTAGATTTTCCTTTCCAATTAATGCCCTTTAATTTCTGTTTAATTGAGAAAAGATATCTGATTGGCTGACCAAATTTCGCGCAATCTAATATTTTATGCGTAAGTTTGAACTATTTGTAAATTGGGGGCGGTAAATTAACCCACGCAAAATCATTCAATTCAATCTGATATGAGCTCAGCTTATTCATCACTTAAAATTTTTCGGATCAAGTTAACACCCTGTTCTCCCCTACGCAGAGATACAAGTTCGTGCTAGGGATTTCAAAAGACCGGTTTTTTAGCAGACCAATCTTTAAGCAGACTCAGAACAATTATAAAGTCAGATAGCCAACTTTAAACGCTGAATTGGCGATTAGTGACCGCTTGCTCAGCTGCACTTCAATTCAACACGAGTGTTAGTGTGAGTGTAAAATTTCGTTTCGCCGCTAATTAAGACTGTTGTGTTTTTGAAGTTGATATTGTTGTTGAGGAGTGTTCTCATGCTGGAGGTACTGAATGGTGGAAAAACTTCAACTAATAAAAATTGCTGAGCGTTACAATTGGTAATTACCTTTCTCACAAAATTGAACACAACATTGACAGAAAATGTTAATATAATAAATATAATGATGCAGATGTAATAGGCGCAGATATGAAAAGTTTAGTTTTTTGTTTTCCAATTTTTCGAAATCGGTATCCTTGAATTTTAAATTTGTTCCAATCCGCATTCGATCCGGCATTATTTTCATTCATCTGCTTATCATCTAATCGGTCAATATTAGCACTAATGGCC